TTAATGTAAACACCATTTAATTAAGGAAACTAATGAAATTTTATCGTTTTTTGAAAAACCACAAAAATCTAACTTATTCGACTAAAATGTTTTTTTTTAACTGTTTATATAAATCGACTAATAAATAGGTAGGACATGCGAGGAGTGCTGCTACATTAACAGAAAATATAGATAGAGCATGCATGGAGTGCTGCTACATTGAATGAAAAATATGTAGAACATACAAGGAGTGCTGCTACATCGACTGACAAATAGAACATGCAAGGAGTGCTGCTACAACGACTAAGAAAAAGGTACAGCGTGCAAAGAGCCCTGCTGCATTTATATATATATATATATATATATATATATATATATATATATATATATATATATATATATATATATATATATATATATATATATATATATATATATATATTATAAATTAATTATCGAACATCAGTTCTTTGGAATTCGCTTCTTTCATTTTGCTTTCCTGATTCATATAAATTGCAATCTTTTAAGTCGTCTGTCAATTGTTATCTTGCTCTACTATCTATCTATCTATCTATCTATCTATCTATCTATCTATCTATATATATATATATATATATATATATATATATATATATATATATATATATATATATATATATATATATATATATATATATATATATATATATATATATATATATGTATATATATATATATATATATATATATATATATATATATATATATATATATATACATATATATATATATATATATATATATATATATATCTAAACAACTTTAAAATGTATTCTACAAATAGAGTGCGCTGGCAGGATGGTCATTTTTAAGCTAGCCTGGGCGGTTTAAATAATTCATTTTATTCTGCTATTTAAATTTAAATAAAAATGATGGAAAGAATGCTTGGAATAAATACTAAATAAAATAATTTAAAAAAAAACTGGTAAAAAAAAGCATTTTTCATAAAAGTTGAACAAATGAACAAAAAAGTTTTTGTTGCAATTTAAAACAAAACTTTTTTTTTTTTATGGCAAGCGTTTTATTATGCAGAATGGCTTATCTGAACATGCCATATAAGTTATCCTATATATAGTCATACACTAAATTACTATTTGTAAATAATGCCAATATGTATAAGAATTATAGAGAAAAAAAATGCCTGCAAAATCAATATAATAGAGAAGAAAAGATCCTACATAATGAAAAAGAGACATAGTCCATTGTTCACAATGAATATAAAAGCCATAAATATCATGTGATATTTATTGCCAAGTGATTCCAAAATCTAATGAAAGACAACACTGATAAAAAAAAAATTAAAGATGGAAGATGTTAGTTTCAACACATTGAAAGGAAGAAAAGATCAAAAAAAAATAAAAGTTAAAAGAATAAAATAAAAACTGAAAACACAAAAGCTTTTAAATCACATATCAGGGATAGATTACAAATGTACAAGATTTAAGTGTTTTGAAAATGTAACAGAAGATGACAGAACACACTTAATGGTACACTTAATAAAATGTCCATCAAAGAATTGCAAAACTCATTTTTGGCTAGGCTTATAAAATTGTATGTCACAAGAAGGTACTAATAATATAGAGAAGACTGATGAATAATAATTGGATGGGTCAAAATGTTCCATATTAAATAGTTTAGAGAGAATTGAAGAGAGTTCTGCAGAACACTTTTAAGACTATGGACCACAAGCTGCAGAAGAGTTCAACTGAGAAATGATTTTAGCAAAGGAAGTCAGAGTGATTTGGATGCCTTAAAAATCTGTTTAACTGGAATGGCATAACGAGTATGGTAATAAGGTTTGAGACAAATTAAAGGAAAATTACTTATTGCAAATAGCTCTACTTTATCCTTAAAAGAGCTAATAAGATCATGAATTAAAGAGGAATTTGAGATGGAATGTTCAACTTACCTTTGGTAAGTCTGAAGAATTTTCAAAAAGTCTCTAGAGCCTAATTTCTGAAAAACGCATAATTTAATAAACTGGGAATAATGAAGCTTAGCATCAGCACCTTTTAAAATTGATTTCTTGCAATAATTAATATATGTTTGTTCTCAAGAGAATTGTTCTTTTGAAAAAGATGAAAAAAATGATTACAATTAGATTTAGCAGCTGCAAAAGAAAGCTAAAACCATGGAGTAGAATGAGGCTTGACTTGGAGCCAATGAGAAGGAATAAAAACATCCATATCTGCATGGATCCAGGAGGTAAGGATCCACATTTATCAGCTGAGAGAGAATTATTAGAGAGATCAGCCCAAGGAGAGTCACAAACAGCTAAACACAAGCTAGGGTCAGAGGCAAGACACAAATCAAGGAGTGAAAGTAAGTGATTAAAGTTGTCTAGAAAACGAGTTACAAATTTTACTTTCTGAGTAGGAGATTTAAAAAATCCTAAAGTTTCATTACCAGAAGGGTCACTGGTGTTAAAGCCAAGCAAGATAGTGTGATGAGCATTGAAGTAATCAATAACAACAATATTGACAAAAGGATAAATGAAAGGGCATGGTCACTTTGATCAAAAATTATATCTAAAAGAGAGCTATATCTAAAAAGAGAAATTATACCTATAAGAGATTCTAAATAGAAAGAGAAATGTTGATAAATTGAAGAGTTAAAAGAATTGTCATAGGATTAAAATCTTATTTCTTGTCAAATAGGTGAATTGATGCATAAGTAAATACCCAAGCCAAGTATGTGACTATTGGAGTCTTTGCAAACAAAAAGATAGTAGCCATCAATAATTCTATCTGAAGAAGAAACAGCCAAATCAAATTAATTGCACAAAGCGCAAGCAAATCTGGTGAATTGCAAGAGTGAAGATTCAACTTATAGAAAGAACTTCCTGGAAGACCACAAATATTTGTGAAAGATATATTTAAAAAGTTAGATGGAGAAGATGATTTTTTGTGTTTAATATTTTTGGTTATTTTGGGCATGGTTTGAAATGAACTGAAGTTGACTCATTTATAGAGTCTGATATCCCAAGCAATGAGCATGCAGTTGACACAGTCCTGCTAATTAATTCAAATTCATAACTTAGGACTCTCTATGTGGCCTTGAAAATACACAGCAAAAGCACTAATAGGAACAACATCCATGCACAACATGGAACTGTTAATACTCTGACAGTTTGCAACTATTGATGGAATCAGCCTCTCTGAGAGCTACCACAGAGTTCAAGAAACCTTACTACTAGCTAGCCTTAAAACCGTTAAACTGAGTTTTAATGTTTCTAAAAGCTGCACCCTCATTATAAGATAACAGGAAGTTTTAATGTTTCTGAGATCTGTACCCTCATTATGAGATATTAACTGAGAGTCTTTGTCTAGAAATACAAAACCTACAAGGCAGCAGGACATTGGGTAGGAAGTACTGGGTAATGTGTTACCAGTAGTAGGGTGATTGTGATGATCCTGAACCTAACCTGGAGTAGTTAAAAGAAGTTACTTCTGTAAACAGTGCATTAATTGAACAAGATATTTTGGAAATTAAGAACATTAGGAAAAGCATTACATCTAAAGGAATACAGAAATTTATATAAAGGAATACAGAAAAAGGTGAGCACATGTTATATAGTTGATGTCACTAGTTAGTAATTGAGCAAACACTACATCAGAGATTTAAGCAGAACTCAAACAAATATATAGAAACTTACCGGTGGATGAGCACCGCACCAAATGTTCAGATAGAACACAAACATACAAAATAAAACATACAAATTTATAGGTAAATGAACACTGTGCTAGATGTTTAGACAGAATGCTTTAGTCATGGAACAGGTTGCACTGGATTATGTGACCAGTAGCAGAGTGATCATGATGATCATACTCCTGACTTGACATATGAACAGAACTGTTTGATAAAAATATTTTTCTCTAACTTATCTCTTGAATCAAATGAATACACTCTTCTTGTCATCTCAAAAAAACAGTTTAATCCACTGTCAGACATCCATATTACTCCTGCTGCTTTTGCTTAAGTTAATTTTTGATTAAACTCTTCTTCAATTTCAGCAGTAGTTTAGACAACACTTTCTATGTTTTCCAGAACTCTTTTTACTACTCTAAACTTTTTAACAAATGCTGAAATTGAATACTATTTTTCTGTCTGCTGGTAAAAGGCATATGTGGTTTAAAATTTAATATTCTGGAGAATATTTTGTTGTCAAATGTTGATATGTCTGTCAAATGTTCATACTAACCATGGGCATTTGATTTTTCTGCCAGGTAAATCTGTCCATTTCCACCCGCTACTGTTAACGTCTTTTATGTTAAAAACTTTAATGGGCGGTAATAACAGAAAATTTCCATTAAGAATTTTTAACAGATTGATAATATTTTGTTAAATTCCGTTGATTCCGTTAATTTTTGTTTATTTCATTAGTTTTATATTAAAAAAATTTTTTTTAAAAAAAGTTTCATTTAATCAACATTCGGTTGAATGAAAGACAAGGAGCAATAAAAAATTTTGAAATACACAGTTCGATTATAGAACTAAAGGTTTTTACTAAATTTACTAATTAATATAAAATTTTTAGCAAAAACTTTATATAAGCGAAAATTTTATGAAAATTTTTTTCAAAAGATAATTTTATAAATGTATTATTATAAATTTATAAAAATATTATTTAAAAGCTTTGATGAAAAATTTAAAACATTTTTGTACATTTGTTAAACTTATAACTTGAGTTTAAAATGTATAATTTAAATTTAAATGAGTTTTTAAAGTAAAAAAAAAAACATCAGTTAAAATAAGTTAACGGCCGTTAACGGGAAATTACTGGTAATAAATTTTAACGTAATGGATTTTAATAAAAATTTAAATAACTTTTTTTAACGCAACAGAAATTAATGGCTTTTAACAGACCACAAAACACCCATGCTTAGTTATCCAGTTGTAAAGTTAAAAAAAAGGATATTAGTGAGCTCATTAATATAAACTTTTATTATATCTTTTATTTAAAAAACAAAATTTTTAATTACCTGTCAAACAAGACAAAAACCTCAGATGAAGGCTGATGAATTGTAGCTATAATTGTTGTACCTTCACTAGCAATCTTTTGTAAACAAGTTATTACACTTTCTGCCATGAATGAATCCAGTCCTGATGTCGGTTCATCCACAAAAAGAAGTTTAGGATCAGTAATTATCTTGAATGAAAAAATAAAGTAATTAAACAGATAATTATTTTTTTTAGTATTTACCAAACTTAAATAAAGTTGGAAATATTTATTTAGAGCTTATTATATAATAATTTATACAAGTAAGCTAAAACTATGTCCTTTAATACAAAAATCAAAATTCAATATATAAATAATTATTTGTAAATTAGTTCAATACACTAATATTGTAAAACTAATACAGTCAATTTTTAAATTAATTTTTACCTCTGAAGCAAATGCAAGTCTTTTATTTTCTCCGCCAGAAATTCCACGAATTCTTCCAGCAACTCCAATTACTGTATTTTGACACTTTCCTAGTCCAAACTAAAAAATAACTTTTAGACATAAGTACAAAAATTTATTATTAAATTAATTCAAACTCGCGTTGAAAGTAAATAAAATGTAAAATCTTGAAAAACTATTTAAATTTTTAATTTTTATAAACTTTGTAAAAAAATAGACAAATTCTGTAAACCTGTGCAATAACATCATCAACTCTTTTTTCTTTTTCTTTTGTGGAGTATGCTTCTGGCATCCGCAGATAAGCCTTAGAAGAAATTATTTATTAATTTTTATTTATTTATTAATTTTTATTTTATTAATTATTTAAATATTAATTATTTAATTAAAACTAAAATAAAAGCCTAAAAAAAAACTATATTAGTATGAATTAAACAAAAAAGGAAAACAAAACAAAAAATATTTTCATATTTATGTTATGACAATTAGATAAAAATTGTGTAATTATGCAAGTAAATTTTTTACTAGATAATTTTTTTAGATTTTTTAAGATAGATAATTTTAAGTGGCATAATGAGAAAATTAAACAAAAACCTGAATTTACTATTTGAAAAAATAAAAAGCTTATATTGACAAATTAAATGGTGTAATTGATTTTTATACAACTATGAATAAACTATTTCAAATAAATTCAATTGATCAAATAATTTTAACCAAACAAAAATTTAAATAATTAAATAAAAGATTAACGACAAATTTTAGCAGAAATTTAAAACTAATGTTATTACTTATTTTTAACTCAGATTTTTGGGAATTGAACATAAAATTAACAAAATCCTGACAACCCCTTAAACAATTGAGCTAAGTAAAAGCTAAGTAAAGTCAATTAAAAAGTGTGAAAATAAGAAAATATATGTAATTATATATATATATATATATATATATATATATATATATATATATATATATATATATATATATATATATATATATATATATATATTTATATATATATATATATATATATATATGTATATATATATACATATATGTACATATATATACATATATATATATATATAAATATATACATATATACATATATACATATATATATATATATATATATATATATATATATATATATATATATATATATATATATATATATATATATATACATATATATATATATATATATATACATATATATATATATATATATATATATATATATATATATATATATATATATATATATATATATATATATATATATATATATGCCATTATATATATATATATGCAATTATATTTATAAAATTATGAATGTGTGTTTAGATAACATATCTGACACACACTGAAATAGCCTGCTACATACATCGACTATCTTATAGCCTGCTGCCACAAAAAAGTGATGCTACATCAACTGAGGGTATGGCGTGGAACAGCAATCTTTTCTTTCATTATTCTTTGTTTTTTTTCTTTTTCTGAAAATGTCATATAAATCATTCTCTATAATGTTTGTGTGTGTGTATATATATATACAGGGCTCGAATTAAACGTATCGCTATTGTGAATTGCATTTGCCTTTCACGCCTTTGCAATAAGTTTTTTAATAAAAAGTTTTTTTTCGCGATTTTTTTTTTCTGTTTATTTACTTTTTTTCTAATTTAGCTTTTTTTTTGGCAATTCTTAAAAGTAATGTTTATGTTTGTCAAAGTAATGGTATTGTGTTTGTCATAAAGTATGTCACGCTAAAATTTATAGTTTGAATAGAATGATCTTGAGATATAGAATGAACAGAATTTGCTCTTTCTTGCGGAGATTTTTATTTAATGTAAAGCATTTTGAATTTAAATTACCTTAAATCTATGCGTGGAATCCAATAATATTTTAAAAGGTAGTTAAAGAGAAAAGTTGAAAAAGGGAAAAGACGTTAAAGATAACTTTTTCTTCATTTTTTTTTTTTTAAAACAGCCTTGTTTTTATCTTTGTTTTTGAAACATTGCACAAAATTAATTAACTTATTATTATTAATTTAAATTATTACTTTGTCAACAATTTTATATTTTTAATTTTACTGCTTTAAGTATATTAAAATAAATATTAAATTGTTTTTAATAAAAAGAAAATTTTTATTTGTTTTTAATGCTTATAGAAACCAGCAACTTTTTTGCTTAAACTTACTCAAAACTGGTTGTTTTGAGTAAGTTTATAAGTAAATTTACTTATAAACTTACTCAAAACAACCAGTTAAGTTACTACAGTAACTAACAGTAACTAAAATATTAACTTATCAAATTATATTAATTTACTAAATATAATCAAAGCCACACAAATGTTTCTATTTATATCTTCTATGTTGTTAACACATATTATAAGCTTCTAACTTAAAATTATTTTAACAAAAATTTGCGAATAGAATATGAAAAACATGACACCATTTTTTAATATTTTTATTTTATTAAAAGCGATACCAAGAGCGATATCATTTATTATAAATATGCAAGTTGTTTTTAAAAATATTTATTTAAAAAGAAATCTATTTGAACAAAAGAATTTTAGTCTTTTAAAATTCTCTTATTTAAATAATTTTTATATTATAGTTTTATATATTATATATTTATAGTTTCTCTTTATCACCTGCCAATAAATTATTACAGGTAATAATTACAGGTAAACTATTACAGGTAATAATATAATTACAGGTAAAATAATATACAATAAAACAGTCACCAACTAAATTAAAATCAGCTAAAACAACACGACTCTTGCAGCTGTTAGCATTAAGTGCTAATAACCACCCGGTGTGTTTTCCACAAATTATTGGATCAGACTTCTTGGAACATTCTCCTCCATCAAAATTTTAAACAACTCTCTCTTTTCTTTCAAATTTCAAAACTGGAATGTTTCTTTAATATTGACACAACATCAGCTTGTAGGTCTGGGACAAGTTGCATGAATTAAATTTTTTTGAAAATTTTGCGATTGAAATTAAAAATTAAAAAAAATCTGAAAATTTTAAAAGAATTTGAAGAAACAAGAAAGAATGAGGAAGAAAGTTTCTTTTTCGTAAATCGTAAATTTTGTAAATGTTTTGATATATTTATATTTTGTTTCTTGAAAATAGTTTTAAAAGTAGAAACATTTTATTGCAAACATTAAACCAGTGATTGTTAAAAGTTAAAATAAAAGTTAAATTATAAAAAAATTAAAATTAATAAATTATTTTACTGTTCAAAGATATTTTTTTCTAAAAAAATAATTCAAGCATATTATTAAACTTAAGGAAATATAGTTCAATTTATTAAAACAAATTTTTTTGTTTCACGTTTCATTGAAAAACAATTTGAATAAAAAAATTGAATGAAAACATCAATTTAAAAGCCATTTGAATGAAAAACTTAATTATACTTAAATTTTTAATAATAGGCTGGATCAGGAAAAAATAAATAATAAAAAACGTGGTATGTTTTTTTTTTTTTGTTTTTTTGCTTTGATCTTACTTGTTTGGTCTATATATTATAGACTCATATAGTCTATAGGCATGTTTTTGTGTAAATATGAAGTTTTATGACGGTAATGTTTTAATTTAATAATTAGAACAATTTTATTTATTTGCTTTGTTTTATTTTAAACGCATTATATGTTATTAAGATTATAAACTGTATAAAACAGCATGAAACAGTGTCACAAAGTTGTTTTACATTTACTCAATATATATATTTATTATGTATAATTGTATAATATATTATATTAATTATATATTGGGTAGGCAACTATTGGGTATGGCAACTGGCAATTGCAGATTTTTTTAAAAAATAAAAGACAATTTTTTCATGGAATGAAATAACTTTATTCTGTAATGTATTGCCTATTTTGAGCAATGATCTTTTGCCATTATTCAGGCTGATAATAACTTCTGGTTATTATCAGCAAAAAACTGAACCAAGTATGATTTAACATCATTATCATTATTCAAATTTTTACCATTCAAGGAGTTTTGCAAAGATCAAAATAAAAAGTAATCAGATGGTACAAGGTCAGGACTATATGGTGGATGTGGCAAAACATCTTAACCTAGCTCTAATAACTTTTACCGAATGACCAAAGATGTGTGTGGCCTTGCATTGTCATGATGGAATACAACACTTTTTCGATTTTTCAATTTGGGCCACTTTTTTTCAAATGCATTGTTCAATTTTGTTAGTTATAGACATCTGAATTGATTGTTTGGTTAGGTGGGAAAAGTTCAAAGGGGACAATTCCTGTGTAATCCCACCAAACTAAGAGCATAACTTTCTTTTGATAAATATCAGCTTTTAATGTTATTTGAGCTGGTTCAGCTGGCTTGCTGCATGATCTTTTCTGATTGACAATGTTGTAAACAACCCATTTTTCATTACCAGTTATCAATCGTTTTAAAAATGGATCATTTTTATAACGCTTCTTTAACAAATCGCAGATGTTAATGCGTTGTGTTAAATGATTTTCTTTAAGTTCATGAGGAACACATATATCAAGTTTTCATGCATAGTAAAGTTATTTTAAGCGATTTCAATGTATGTATGTGATATATGAAGCTTCTCTGCAATCTCATGTGTTGTGCTGTGACAATCCGAATCAATTATTGCTTTGATTTGGTCACCATCAACTTTAACTGGATGACCAGAGCATTCTTCATCTTTGAGTGAAAAATCACCAGAACAAAATTTGGCAAACCAATTTTGAAACTGCAATTCTTTTAAAGCTTTGTCCCCATAAACAGCACATTGGCAAATAAATACAGACACAAAAAAGTTTGTCGCAAATGGAATATGTAAACAAATTATTTAGAACGTTGCTTTAAAGTTTTAAAATTAAGATAATTACCAGTGTTACATATTTTTAATCGTTAAAGAAATCCCATGGTGATACTCAAAAAATAGATCGTTAAAATTTCTGAATAATAAAAAAAAAAAGACTAGTTGATAAATAGCTTTGACAAGCTAATAAAAGTTTTAGTTGTACAAAATAAAAAATATGGATAAGTTTAAAGATGTAAGCACAACTAGGGGCTATTTCAAACTTTTCAAAGAATTACAGAGTTTAAAGTGTAAACTCTGTAAAATTATTCTGAAAACACCTGGCTCAACAACAATAACTATTACGAAGCATTTAAAAATAAAACCCAAAATTGAAATTTTTAAATGCAATAACTCTGCGCCTTAGGCTGCAGCAAACATTCCGGAATATTTGCTGCAGCCTCGGGTGCAGCATTATTGCAGTTGTTGCAGCAATGCAGAGTTATTGCATTTAAAAATT